CAAGCATTGTGGTTAATGCACCACACGATTCCTTGTTAAAAGGTTTCAGTTTTGTTGCCAGAAAAAAAGGGGAAAAACCCCCTATTATTGTTTTTTGGTACTGGCAAAGGAGGTCTCATGATGTACATGTGTGCATTGTCCTTTGAAGTCTGATTCGGAACTACCCCAGAGACAGCCTCCTATATGGCCTCGTCCCACCACCGGTGTGACACCTGAGGACAACGCCAAAGGCGGACAGCACAAGGACAATGCACTAATAGCAAAGCATTCGTGTCTCGGTTTGAGCACAGGTGTCTATGATGCTGGAAGATAAAGGGTCCCGTTAAAAAGATAACCCTTGTTCAGACCAACAGCCTATTGGATTTCAACGGCAAATAAATATTCAGGAGTTTTTGTTTAAGCGAGCAAACTCTGGAGGGACGTCGAACTTCTGAGTCTCGTCAGCAGAGTCGGGCTTGTTAAATGTGTGGCTGCGCACAATGTGAAAGAAGTTCAACATGCATTCGTTCAGTCAATCAGCCTATTTATTGACACCGCGGTGGCATAGGAGATGTTAACTACCTCGCCTGGTATGCAGGAGAACGTGGGTTCGATCCCGACCCAGACGCCTGCTGTATATTTGGAGTTTGCGGTGTGTGTGTGTGTCTCTCTCTCGACGTGGTCGTGTGGATTTTGTCTCGGAGTCCTCCGGTTTTCTCCCTCCTCGTTACGAAATCGACGTCGCGCGTTTCGAATATTTGGCTGCTGTACATTTCCACGCGATGATGATTCGCCACTTCGTTGGGCGACCATTTGTGATATCTAGATCGCTTTTGAAAAAAAAAAGAGCTATATAGCTCAGTGGAGGCCTTACCTGGTAAAATTAAAAATAAATATATAGTTAAGTTTTAGTTGCAGTAAATGACATTCAGCAGGGCGGGTTCCAACGAGTCTCATCAGCAGTGGGGGGCTTGTCAACTGTATTATTTCAGTCCATCAGCCTGTTGGCTTTCCAGACCAAATAACATTCAGCAGCAGAGTTTGTTTGAGTGAGCAAACTCTGGACTGATTTCAAACTTTTGGGTCTCATCTGCAGCGGCAGGCTTGTTAAATCAATTCGTTCAGTCCACCAGCCTGTTGGCTTTCCAGACCAAGTGACATTCAGCGGCGCATCGTTGTGTTTAGTTTGTTTGTTTTGTGTTAAGTTTGTTGTCCTTCTCCGCACCTCCGATGAGCACGGTTGGCTACGTACGGTGCGAAAGAAGTTCAACGTGCATGCTAATAGGACGAGCCAACTCCGACTCGGCGTGAGCGCCGCTCTTCCAACTTTGCCCACAAGGCGGCGGACATACCACGCGTCACCAGCCCCCCAAACAACCCCCCAGCAAGATTGGAGGAGGACAATTCCAGCCCCCCCCCCCCTTTGTCAATCCACTGCGGCACTCACCCCTCCCCTCACTCACCCCCCCTCACCCCCCCTCACCCCTCCCCTCACTCACCCCTCCCCTCACTCACCCCTCCCCTCACCCCTCCCCTCACTCACCCCCCCTCACCCCTCCCCTCACTCACCCCTCCCCTCACCCCCCCTCACCCCTCCCCTCACTCACCCCTCCCCTCACTCACCCCTACCCTCACCCCTCCCCTCACTCACCCCCCCTCCTCTCACCCTTCCCCTCACTCACCCCTCCCCTCACCCCCCTTCACCCCTCCCCTCACTCACCCTTCCCCTCACTCACCCCTCCCCTCACCCTTCCCCTCACTCACCCCTCCCCTCACTCACCCCTCCCCTCACTCACCCCTCACCTCACCCCTCCCCTCACTCACCCTTCCCCTCACTCACCCCTCCCCTCACTCACCCCTCCCCTCACTCACCCTCCCCTCACTCACCCCTCCCCTCACCCTTCCCCTCACTCACCCCTCACTCACCCCCCCTCCCCTCACCCCTCCCCTCACTCACCTCCCCTCACTCACCCCCCCCTCACCCCTCCCCTCACTCACCCCCTCGCTGACCCTCCAACCCCTCGAGGTGACCTCCCCCAGTACCCCCCCCCCACCACCGCCCGGTTCACCCGCGCGTGCGCAGATCTCCATGACGTAATGTTTGCCCACAGACCCCGGCCCTCCCTAGGGCCACTCGATCTGGGCGATAAACATCCGCGCAAGTACACCGTCACCCGACCACCACCACCAGCAGCAGCAGCAGCAGCCTCGGTGTCCCTAGAAATCCGAGGAAGTTCCTCCCACTGCTTCTATTTAAAGTTTCAAGTTTTATTTGCTGTATTTGGTATAGCCCTGTGAGCCATGCGGCTCTCGAGTCGGATGGAACCGCTACAAACTAAATATGAACAAAACCACCAAATCTCCCACGCAACCCCGACCGATACGACCAGCCTTGGGACCTCCCTGGCCACACGTTTGTGTGGTTAATGCAGACGTGATTCCTTGGGGAGTGTCGTGCTGCCAGCTATGGATGCAGGTTTTTTTTTGTCGTGCGCGTTATGTATATCGTTTACTGTTAAATTTAAAATCACAGCTCCTGTGATTATTGTTGTTACATTGTTTTTACAGCTTTATTTTGGTGATTCGGAAACATATGGTGAATCTAAATTGTCTTATGATTGTTGTTGTTGGCTTGCATCACATTGATTTTTGCACACAGCGTTTAAATACGTTTTTTTTTTTGTGTGTGGAATATTTGCTGGTTTATTCCACGATGTTTCTGTTACGCGTTGTCGCTTTAAGATGTTCTGTGTTCAAATTTTGTTTGTTGCGGATGCACCCGACTTAAGAGCCGCATGGCTCACAGGGCTATACCTAATAAATGAAACTTGAAACTTGCAAAAGGTTTCAGTTTGGTGTTTTAACATCTTAACTCAAACTGTTTTATTGCCAGCAAGGGTAAAACCTCATTATTATACCACCATCCTTCCTATCACTCCACCAGCAAGACTCTAGACATTCTGCGCCTGTTATCAAGAGCAGCAGCAGCCATGATCAATCCACTGCTAGACGAAGACCTTGGTTCTATCATTGGCTATGGATGGATGATATATTCTATTTATCACAGAATACATACGCAGACTATATCTGCTCCTCCAAATAACAAAAAAAGTGTTTTTACACATCCCATCAGCCACCACAGCCTTTCAAAAAGCAGTTCCAAAGAGTTTAGATTTTAAAAGTGCATCAAAGCTCCAGTGGCTTCCTAATATCGGAAGGGAAGAGCGTTCCAGACGGCCGCGGGAAGCGCATCTGAAAGCGCCGTCCTTATTGGACGGCGAGAGAGGATGACCGTAACCAGCGTGATGGTGGTTCATGCTCCTTGAACGAGATGAGCTAATGTTTATTTATCCAGGACATCTTGTGTTCCTTTTAAGGCCGCAAAAAGTATTGACGAATGTTTTTCAGTTTATTTTTTTATCAACACAGGTGTGTTTATATATAACTATACCTGTGTGTGTCCGCATGTTTTTTCTTCTGTGCAGTGTGCGCAAAGACAAAGGCGGCCGGGCGTGGTCTTGACCACGCCCCCCCCCCTTCACTTGATAGAGGCGTTGACATGGCCCAGCGTGTCGTCCAGGTTCGAATCCGGAAGGACGCCCTGATTAATACTGCAGGTGTTTAAACCGTAAAATATGACCACTGCTACCCGCCGTCTGATTCGCAATGGACGTTAAGATCCTATGACGTCGTTCGAAGAAGAGTAGGCCATTGTGTCCACATTTTCAAAAAAATAAAAGATTCCACGTATGAATGTTGAACTTATTTCGCACCGTACCGTGTTAAAAGAGCATAGCTTCAGTGGCTTCCTAATATCGGAAGGAAGCACGTTCCAGACGGCCGCAGACGCACTTCTGAAAGCGCGCGATGCAGTGGCCGTCTTTGTTCGACGGTTAGCCAAAAGCCACGTGCTGCTCCGATGATGACCGGAAATCACGTGATGGTTTGTGCTCCTTGACAAGATCAGCAAGGTGTTGTGGTTCATTTGTGGCAAGCGTTTTGGGTGTAATGTGTGCGATATTATGCACAGTGGCAAGCGCCCCGGTCACCCCAGGAAATGAGCCTTGACCTCGGAGTACTTAGAAAAAGGCAATGCGAAGATCTCAGGGACCACGTTTGAGTATTCAAGAAATAACCCGCATACCATACAATGAATCAAACTTCACATTTGTAAACAATATTTTTTGTTTTAATAGCACAAACACCGTTCAAAAAACACTCGATGTTCACACTAACTACAAGACAAAATAATTTATTCAAGCATTGGTCACGAGAATAATTAATCGAATGTTAATGTTCGATGCAAATGCTATGCACACACCGCGATTAATGACGTTGATACGCGCACTGCGCCGAAAAACCAGATTAATATGAGTTCGACTCCCCACTATGGCTAAGATCAGTGGGCGAGTGATTTAACATCTGAAATGATCCCGGGACACTTTCACCTTCCTTCACCAACTTGCGATGAACCAGCGCGGTGAAGTATGGTCAAACAAACTCCACCAACCACACGCCACGTGGGGGCGGGGAGGTTTCATCTAGCAGTGGATTTTAAAAATGTTTGCACGTTACAATAATTTAGCTCCGTCTTGGAGAAGGAGGTGTTATTGGCCAATGAATATTCGCATTAATTTGTTGTTTTGTTATTAATGAGGAAATTACCCAACGGTACCTTATCTGATACAGATGTCTGCATTTACAGCGATTATTATACTGTGTAGGAACCTCCTGGTTACACCAGCCCACAGGGGATTATTATTGTGTCCGTCCGTCGTGCATCCAAAAATGGGAGGGGTGGGGCTGGGTGTAGAGGGGAGGGTGGGGAGGGGCTGGGTGGGGAGGGTGGGGAGGGGCTGGGTAGGGAGGGTGGGGCTGCGTGGGGGGTGGGATGGGTGGGGCTGGGTGGGGAGGGGCTGGTCACCCCGTGGTGCCCTTATAAAACTCAACGTTTAACCTACTCACGCCGGCTTGTGCCCGCCCTCACAGTCGGGCATATTGTGCTGAACACACCACGTGGTGGTGCCGCCCGTTGACCCTGGCCATTGACCGAGCAACCCAACGTTCCTACTACCAGCTCCCTCCGCAGGAATGCGTTTTAAATTGTAAATGAAATGACAGCGGACTAAACATCTGGCGCTCGAACGCTAGCGTTGGGACTCTTGGGTCTTGCGCTGAGAGTGAGCTCCCACGGGAGCCTACGTGGTCTCAGAGATGAGGCTTACGGTGTCTCTCTCCGTATGTACCTCCCTGTCTATCTCCGAGTCGATCTCCCTCGCGAGGTTGTCCGCCTCCCGTAGCGAGGCCCCGAAGTCCGCCGCCTCTTCGTAGCAACGCACCTCCTCCTCCTCCTCCTCATCATCATCCTCCTCCACCTCATCCCGCGCCTCCTTCCCCTCCATCGACTCTGCCCGGCAGAGAGGACAGTGGGGGGCCGTCTCCACAGAGCCCCCCAACACCTCCTCGTAGCGGGGGGGCTTCGCAGGGCTGGTGGGGTGACGAGGTGGGGGGGGGGGGAGTTAGTCGTTGTTACCACCATCATTGTCGTCATGTTTTGATCAATTCAACATCTTAATCATAGTTTAACACGTCGAAGGCTTTCGCGAATGATATCATCCATAATATGGGGGGGTTTTTTAAGGGTGAGATCGCGTAAAAAACATAAATGTGTCGTTAAACCCGCCACCACCCGACGCAGCCAATTAGTAAAGCTTGTCACGTACACAGAACGTGCCAATACGTTACTAATGCAGCACACCGGTGTGTTGGAGAGCAAATCCACAAAATTTACAATCTGAGTGCGACGTTTCGCCAGTAATTACAACTTGCTTCCTCAGGTTAGTTGTAAATACTGGCCAAACGTCGTACTCAGATTGTAAATCTTGTGGATTTGCCCTCCAACACACCGGTGTGCTGTACTAGTAACGAATTGGCCACGTTCTGTTTACGTGACAAACCTTACTAAGTTGGCTGTGTCGGGTGGTGGCGGGTTTAACGACACATTTATATTAACGCGATATAACTCAAACAACCTATATTATGGATCATAATCATAATCGCCATCATTGATCAATAATATGGTCAACATCATTGTCGTCATCATTGCGGATCAATCCACGCATCATCATCACAGGGCGGTGACGCGGCTTAGGGGGTAGCGCGTTTGGAGTTCGTGGTTTCGAATCGGACCGGCCGCCCTGGTAAATACTGCGGTGTCTAAATTAATCGTAAAACTAGGCACCTCCTGTTTCTTTCACGGTGGAGGTTAAAGATCCTGTGACGTCGTTCACAAGGAAGAGGAGGAGGCGATGGTGTGGCCGGCATCGTGGTCGACAAGATTTGCAAAATTTAAAGAAGAAGCGGAATAATTGAGTAACGCCACACAGCAACATTTAGAAAATTGAAAAAACATTGTCTAAAGGGAGACCAAACTGGGTAAACAATAACAATCATTAAAACACAACAATGAGCATAATCATCATCGATCAATTATCATCATGTATGTATGTTGAACTTCTATCGCACCATACGTAGCCAACCGTGCTTATCAGAGGTGCGGTGACGAAGCTGTAGGTAAAGCTAAGCAGACGCGATTAAGAATCAACTCAACGCATTCGCCGTCAATAGCAACGTGTGTCACAAGAAAACTAAATATATAATCGGTGACGTTTCAGACAATGGCTCTTCTTCATAAAGCATGCATGTGCCATGAAGACGGGACATTGCCCGAAACGTCGTCTATTATAGATGCTTGCCGTGAGGGGCGCACACAGGGATATTCACGAATGTGTTGCGTTTTCCCATACGGCAGCTAAAGATTTTAATAAATATCTTTCATTGTTTCCACGGCTCATGACTAGGGTCGCCAAATCTGACTTAAGACATTCGGGTAGATTTTGTATTATTATGAATATAAAAACATGTATTTAACAGGTCCCTGCAGGGTGGGCTGGTAGGAACATTGGAATTTTGCGCAATTTTATTTTAACACCCCAATAGCACGAGATTTCACTTCGTTAAAGTATTGAAAGGGGACGAACGGACGGACGGACACATTAATCTATTGCAGGCTGGTACACTCAGTTTACAACTTCGTTCCTACCAGTAAAATATCCCCTTACCGCATTAACATCTCGCACACTGCTTTCTTCAACAGGAGATGAATGCCGTTTCCGGTCAGAGCCGTCCCCACAGTGCACGGCAAATAGAGGCGACCGCCCTGGGCCCCGCAATTTGGGGGGGGGGGGGCGCAAGTTTTTTGCGGGTGTCCGATGTAATACTTACGCATTAGTTTGAGGGGGGGGCGGCCCATAGGGTGGGATTTGCCCCGGCCCCTGTACCCTGTCAGCCCCCCCCCGCCCCACCACGCTTTGGACGGCCCTAATTCCTGTATAGTAGACTCCCAACGAATCCAGGACGGGTTGGAAACTCTACCCATGCCTTACCTGGCCGGGTCAGGCTGGGCATCGTCGCTGTGCACCTGGACCGAGCATCCGGTCACCTCCTCCCCCACCTCCTCCTCCACCACCTCTTCCACCTCGCCCCGGGCCCCCTTGCCGCTGGGGGCCGAAGTGGGGGGCCCGCGGGGGGCAGGTGGAGGGGTTCCAATTGTCAGGTTGGGGGGGGTGCTCCAGGATGAGGAGCAGAAGGTGGGCGAGGTCTGCCCCCTGTCGTTCGTCGAACCCTCCAGACATGCGAGGGGCAACGTGCGAGGTCTGGAAGGAAGGGAAGAAGGGACGGGAGGAGGATTTGAGATCGTGTGGGATTTCATGGGATTACAAAGGAATTTATGAGATCGTATAGGATTTTAGAGACATTTATGAGATTGCATGGGATTTCATGGGATTGTATAGGAATGTATGAGATTGTATAGGATTTGATGAGGTTTCATAGGAATATATGAGATTGTATAGGATTTGATGGGATTTCATAGGAATTTCTGATAATGTGTAGGACCCTATGGGATTTTAGAGGGATTTATGGGATTTTGGAGAATGTTATAGGGCTGCAGAGGTAAAGGTGCAGCCCTGCAATTGCTCGGCTCGCACCACAGCTGGCGGAAGGGCCCTCTGCTAGAAAGCTCTGCAATCGCATCTACAGATGATTTAGGACCAAATAATGAGAGGTGGACGTGCCTGCGTTTGCGAAATAATTCCCGAAACAGCGTTCCGGACTGCTTCGGCTGAGATTTAGTCGTGTCTATCATTCTTGTCCTACGCCAGCATTCTTCACTTCTTACTGTCAGCGAAGAGGAGCACTATCGCCGATGAGACATCATCAGTGTGAGGGCCTCCACACATTTGAAACCATTGGGAGTTTGTGACAGCAGCACGATGATGATGATGGTGTGGAGTGTCTTCACTCTTTGTGTATTCTCGTGGGCCGCACGTCAGGGGTCTTCAGTGGCCCACGGGCCTTGCAATGAAGAACACTGTTCTACATCATTGAATTTCACTATTATTATTATAATAACTTCACACTGTAACGGTGCGCTGGCGCCGCATAGCGTTTGTAGAGAGACAGAGAGAGACCACGGACTCGAGGAGGATGAACCGCAGACGTGAAGGTGTTATCGGCCGAATTAATGAGTGTTTATTATACATGTGGATGGAAACCGAAGCACCCCGAAATAAAAAAAACCCACGCGTGCGAGGGGGCAACACTCGATCCCACACAACAGAGACAAGTGGAGATTAGTCCACACTCCGCTGTACCGCCTTCTCCCGGCGAGCCAGGGGTATGGCACCTCCTCGGCGCCAACACGGGAAGAGGGAGTTCCAGAAAGCGGTGATCCACGAAGCCTCGCTGCTGCCGCCTCCAGAGTGCAGCCGGAGCCATCGCCGCCAAGCACCCGGCGAATCATCATCGCCACCAACACCACCACCACCACCGCCGTCATCACAGAAGCAGTCGTGTCCCACTGCAAACTCATATTGCTACTCACTTTGTCCCGGGGTCGAGCAGAAACGGCAGCGAGTCGGATTCATGAATGGGGTTGAAGACCACCTGCCATACACCAAAGACAAAGACACAGATTCGTCCGTGTAGCCTTAACAGGCTGTTGGGGCAAGTGCTGTTAGCGAGCAGCGCCTATGAAGGCCGGCACGGCACACGAGGGGGTGGGTGGCCAGCACCACGCCCGACCGCCTTTGTTTCCCGAGTGGCGATGTTTACACACCGCGCCAAGGTACTCACCACTCACACACACTCACCCATACCCACCACTCTCACACTCACACACACTCACCACTATCATACACACACTCAGCACTCACACACACCCACACCGCTCACACACTCACCGATACCCACAACTCTCACCACTCAAACACACTCACCCATACTCACCACTCTCACACTCACACACACTCACCCATACCCACCAGTCTCACACACACTCACCCATACCCACCACTCACACACACACACTCACCCATATCCACCACTCACACACACATTCACCCATACTCACCACTCTCACACACACTCACCCATACCCACCACTCACACACACACTCACCCATACTCACCACTCTCACACACACTCACCCATACCCACCACTCACACACACTCACCCATACTCACCACTCTCACACACACTCACCCATACCCACCACTCACACACACACTCACCCATATCCACCACTCACACACACACTCACCCATACCCACCACTCACACACTCACCCATACTCACCACTCTCACACACACTCACCCATACCCACCACTCACACACTCACACACACTCACCCATACCCACCACTCTCACACTCACACACACTCACCCATACCCACCACTCACACACACACACTCACCCATATCCACCACTCTCACACACATTCACCCATACTCACCACTCTCACACACACTCACCCATACCCACCACTCTCACACTCACACACACTCACCACTCTCACACACACTCACCCATATCCACCACTCACACACACTCACCCATACTCACCACTCTCACACACACTCACCCATACCCACCACTCACACACTCACCCATACTCACCACTCTCACACACACTCACACACACTCACCACTCACACACACTCACCCATACTCACCACTCACCCTTAACCCCACGGCTCTCTCCCCACGCTCCCCTCCCCATGTCCCACCTTGGGATAGCACTCACACACACTCACCCATACTCACCACTCTCACACACACTCACCACTCACACACACTCACCCATACTCACCACTCACCCTTAACCCCACGGCTCTCTCCCCACGCTCCCCTCCCCATGTCCCACCTTGGGATAGCACTCACACACACTCACCCATACTCACCACTCTCACACAGACTCACCGCTCACACACACTCACCACTCACACACACACTCACACACACTCACCACTCACACACACTCACCCATACTCACCACTCACCCTTCACCCCACGGCTCTCGCCCCATGCTCCCCTCCCCATGTCCCACCTTGGGATAGCACTCACACACACTCACCCATACTCACCACTCACCCACTCACACACACTCACCCATACTCACCACTCTCACACACACTCACACACACTCACACACACTCACCACTCACACACACTCACCACTCACACACACTCACCACTCACACATACACTCACCACTCACACACACTCACCACTCACACACACCACTCACACACACTCACCCAAACCACTCACCCTTCACCCCACGGCTCTCGCCCCACGCTCCCCTCCCCATGTCCCACCTTAGGATAGCACGCACACACACTCACCCATACTCACCACTCACCCACTCACACACACTCACCCATGCTCACCACTCTCACACACACTCACACACACTCACCACTCACACACACTCACCCATACCCACCACTCACACACTCACACACACTCACCCATACTCACCAATCACACACACTCACCCATACCCACCACTCACACACACACTCACCCATACTCACCACTCACACACACACTCACCCATACTCACCACTCTCACACTCACACACACTCACCCATACTCACCACACTCACCCACTCACACACACTCACCACTCACACACACTCACCCATACCCACCACTCTCACACACACTCACACACACTCACCACTCACACACTCACCCATACTCACCACTCACCCTTAACCCTACGGCTCTCTCCCCACGCTCCCCTCCCCATGTCCCACCTTGGGATAGCACTCACACACACTCACCCATACTCACCACTCTCACACACACTCACTCACACTCACACACACTCACCACTCACACACACACTCACACACACTCACACACACTCACCCATACTCACCACTCTCACACACACTCACCACTCACACACACTCACCACTCACACACACACTCACACACACACTCACACACACTCACCCATACTCACCACTCTCACACACACTCACCACTCACACACACTCACCACTCACACACATTCACCCAAACCACTCACCCTTCACCCCACGGCTCTCGCCCCACGCTCCCCTCCCCATGTCCCACCTTGGGATAGCACTGGCAGAGACTCCACGCGACTCCCGCCGCCGTCAGTAGCGCCCCCAGGGCGCAGAACGTCCCGTACACGTGCGGCCACTCGCCCCCCGACAGCAGCGCACCGAGGGCAGCGAGGAAGAGGCCCACGGACACGAGGCCGTAGCGGAGCGTGGCCTCTCTCACGGGGCCTTGAGGAGGGTTATTCACCACCACCATCACCATCCTGACAACTTCCTCCCTGCTCCTCGCCAGCAGGACGATGCCCTCACCGCCAGACGCAACTCCCTTGCCAGCAGAGCAATCGGAGTGTCCTCGACGGGAGACTGTGGGTGTCCCTTGCCGGGGGGATTGTCCTCGTCAGAAAGTTGTCCTCGCGAGTGGGAGTAGTGTGGGCCTCTGCTTGGGCGAGTGACTCTCTCCACCTGAGAACTCTCCCCACCTTGTCAACAGCTTGTCCCACCTTATCCCACCTTGTCCCACGTTGTCCCACCTTGTCCACCGTTCAGACTTTCCCACGAGATTATTGTCTCGAGACGCGAGCCCTTCTCCCCCCCCCCCCACTCTCCCAAGCTTGTCCCCTGACTCTGTGTCTATTCTGTCTCGCTCCTGTCCTCTCCCTGTCTCTTGCCTCTGTGTCTATTCTGTCTCGCTCCTGTCCTCTCCCTGTCTCTTGCCTCTGTGTCTTTTCTGTCTGTCCCGGGTCTCTCTCTCGGACCCTTTGGCCTTCGGTGTCTCTCTGTGTTGCTGCGTCTGTCTTCACTGTCTCTCTCTCCTGGTCTGTGCGTCTTTGTGTCTTTGTGTCTTTGTCTTCCTTAATCTAACTCTCCTCCTTGTCTTCACTGTCTCTCTCTCTCTCCTGGTGTCTGTGTGTCTCTGTGGCTTTGTCTTCCTTAATCTAACTCTCCTCCTTGTCTCTCACTGTCTCTCTCTCTCTCCTGGTGTCTGTGTGTCTCTGTGTCTTTGTCTTCCTTAATCTAACTCTCCTTGTCTCTCTCTCTCTCTCCCCCCTGGTGGCTCTTGTGAGCCACCCTCCCTCTCTGCCCCGTCGTGGCCGCGTCTGTGTGTGAGTTGTGTGTGGGGCGATGTGAGTTGTGTGTGAGTTGTGTGTGGGGCGGTGTGAGTTGTGTGTGAGTTGTGTGTGGGGCGGTGTGAGTTGTGTGTGAGTTGTGTGTGGGGCGATGTGAGTTGTGTGTGAGTTGTGTGTGGGGCGGTGTGAGTTGTGTAAGAGGCGTGTGGGGCGGTGTGTGCGAGAATTTAAGCGGTGAGCTACGTGCCGACCTCACTATTTAGCCGACAAATGGTTGCAAAAAAAAAAATGTGATAATCATTAGACGACCTTCAAATTGTGCTCGCCGCCGCAAGCCAACACCCACCATAATCCCCGCCCAGACGCTCCGGAAAGTAAGACGCACTTTGTCTCAGGCGTCACTAACAACTATACAAAGCCTGTAGTGACGAAGACGAAGCCTCTCACACGGCGGTTCTCAGCCGGGGGGTTACTCGGACCCCTGGAGGATACGTGGCAATGTCCCGGGGAGGGGGGGGGGGGTGTTCGTGATGCGATGCACACACACACACACAGGGTGTTAATTCTAGATTTGAAGTTTTCGTGAGTGCAAGGATTGGGTTTTGTCGGTAAAGTGACGTAGGTAAAAAAAAACAATAAATAAAATCACGACGTTTCGGGCGCAACACGTGACTTTACTGATAAAACCCCCACACAGGGTGCTTCAAAAAAATGTAAACACTTGGGAGAATTTTCAACAATAGTGCAAGAAATGCGCCTTGGGGGCCTCTGAAGACCACCTTGAGAAGATCCAGGGCACGCGTTGACAACGATGGCGAACAAGTGGGAGAATCTTTGACTTTTTTTAAGCCGCTAACATTACACTTGTTATCATGTTACAGTGTATTCTTGCTTCTTTCGGTAAAGTCACGTAGAAGGGAAACAAAAAAATAAAAACAATTAAATTCTCACGACGTTTCGATTGCAACACCAAGAAGCAATCATCATCAGGTTCGTAGGCCCCAGGGCGCTCGCCGCTGCGCCTGACAAAGACGAAGTTCCCCCGTGTAGCCTTGACAGACTGTAGGGGCAAGTGCTGTTAGCGAGCAGCACCTATGAAGGACGGTAACGGTACACGAGGGGGTGGGTGGCCAACACCGGCCGCCTTTGTCTCCCTAGTGGCGATGTTTACACATCGTGCCAGGTACTCATTTGAGGCTGGGTCGACCTAGGGGAGGCCCAGGACCGGTTCAGATAATCGTCACTGGTGTTGACCTTGAGCGGGAATAAAAACTCGGGTGCATAGCGCAGCGACCGCGCCTGACACACATCGACAAGCATACGCAATGCCGGATTATAAGACGCACCTCCCCTCCAACTAACATACAGGGGGTTGGGAGTGCGTCTTACAACCCCGGCTATTACGGTAACCTTTGTCTCGACCTCCCACGCGTCTCACTCCCCCCTCTCCCTCGCCCACATCCACCACAACCGTCGTGAATATTCGCCAGCACAATCAACAATCGACGAGCTCACGAGCTCCTCGCAAGCCGCGCCAGCGCTCACGAGCGATGGGGGTCGGGGAGGAGGGAGCGGACACGTGACCTTTATGACGTCAGCCACGAGGAATAAACAATGGCACCGGACCGGTATCGCCAAAAAGACTTAGAGCTACGATTGTAATTTATTTGTATTTATACCGGGTAAGGCCCACCTTACAGTCGCTTTCTTGCGTGTTTTATTTTACTTTAAACCAGTGGTTCTTCAGCTGGGGTGCACGCTGCACACCCCCCCACCCCCCCCCCCCCTGAGCTTGCGAGATCCCCTTTCTGGGGGGTGCGAGACATGACCAGATTTTTTTTAGAAGGTAAATAATAGAAAACACAAATTAAGCACGGACACGTAGGGGGCCCGTCCATAAATGACGTCACGCGATTTTGGACGATTTTTGACCCCCCCCCCCCACCTTCGTCACACGACGTCACAAAAAGTCAGACCCCCCCTCAAGTATGACGTCACAAAGCTCTGCCCCCCCCCCCAAAAATGCTTCAAATCGCTTTAAACTATTGTCATTGTAGTGTGTATTTAATGTGGCGCTGCACTCTGATATTGTAGGAGAAAACATTGATTAAAAAGTCTATTTAATTAAGTAGAACGTGTTGTCTATATTTATTTAAAGTTGATGTGACGTCACATTTGTCAATCCCCCCCCCCCCCCCCCCCGCCACACATCTTTCGCACCGTACGTAGCCAACCGCGCTAATCAGAGGTGCAGGGGAAGGACACCAAACTAAACACAAAACGCAGTTCTAAAGAAATTAATTTTCAAACTGGATGATGATGATGATGATTTAAAAGCGCACAACTCCCAGTGGCTTCCCAATATCGGAAGGGAAGAGCGTTCCAGACGGCTGCAGAAGCGCATCTGAAAGCTTATTTTGTTCGACGTTTAGCCAAAGAAAGAGTGGTGACAACACGACTGTTAACGCAGCATCATTGTCGTCATCATCATCACCAGCAGCAGCAGCAACAGCAGCATCACCGATTAATGCAAATGATGACAATTAGTGACGTCCAGGAACGGCGGTATTGTGATAACGGAGTGTGGACGATTAAACGCCATTGTTCGAGATTCGTTGTCGACTCAGGTGGGTGGGCAGGTGTTGAGGTATGCGCGACAGCTGAGAGAGCCGTCGAGCTAATGAACATCCACGTGGAGCGTGTTCGTAACGGGAGAGGGAGGGTGGGAGGGGTGGCCGATTGGAGTTTCGGTCTCGACTGGTCCGCACCGGTCTCGCTGCTGAACCTTCACGCGGGTGAGTTAGAGGTCGAGCGGTTTGACTTTGCCAAACAAACAAACAAAAAAAGGAACGCGGAAATTTTTGTTTTCACTCTCCCTCTATCTGTCTCTCTCACCTATGCTGGGTTCAATTCCCGGCCACGGCTGCTATTAAAACAACACAACTCAAGGCCGTAGACATGGAATCAACATTGGGGGGGACCAAATCTTCCAGTGGGTCTGGGGGTCCCCCCCCCAGAAAAAAATCGAAATTTGAAAACGAATTTCCTGCCTAAAATATGTAAGAATCCACTAACACATCGCAATATATTGGGGGGGGGACATTTTGAGCATATTTGAATATTGGGGGGGGGGGGGGATGTGTCCCCCCCCCCAATATATTAGAATTACGGCCTTGGACGAACATCATCATCATCGGTTGTGCCCGATATCTTTGAACCGGCCCTGGTTCCATTCCAGACTATTCACCAACACGCTCTGACCAGCGTGGTGAAGGTTCGTCGAACAATTTGAACAAGGCCGTGCTGAGGATTAGATAATCAAAGCCACGACGATGATGTTGATGATGGGGATGTGGGTGCCACGGTGGCGAGATGTTAACTACCTCGCCTGGTGTACAGGAGGTCATGGGTTCGTCCTGACCCTTACGCCTGCTGTGTGTTTGGAGTTTGCGTCTCTCTCTTCCCGTGGTCGCGTGGATTTTTCTCCGGGTCCTCCGGTTTTTGTCTCCACATTTAGAATCAACGTCACGCGTTTAGAATATTTGGCTCCTATAAATGGCCACGTGATGAGCCACTTCTTTGAGATATAATTTGTGGCGAGGTCGCTTTTTAAAAAAAGAGCTCAGAGCTCAATGGACTTTACCTGGTAAAATGAATACAAGAATACATATATATTTAAAAAAACTAATCCATGAGCGCTTATAATTATCATCAACAGCATTATCATCATCAAATTATCAACATCATCAATCAATGTAAAACTCGATTGAGACAATTACAAAGATCCTTCGTGTAAGCCTTTAACAGACTCTAGGGGCAAGTGCTGTTTGCGAGCACCTATTAGGTCGGCACGGCACTCGAGGAGGGGGGGGGGTGTCAGCACCACGCCCGGCCGTCAATGCGCACCAGGTACTCATTTCATGCTGAGTCGACCTAGGGGACGCCCAGAACCGGTTCATATATTCATTGCCGATGTTAACTGCGAGAGAGAATCGAACTTGGGTCACTGTGTTCGTAGGCGCAGTTCACTAACCACTGTTCAACCGCTTCCCCGACTATAAAAAATATATATAAATAAGCAATTAAAAATAGACCGTGCTCTTACGTTGATTAGTAGTACTTTACTCATCTAGGTATGATCACTTGGAGCGTACTGTGTCATCTCCCGACAAATGATCGTTCAATGAAATTCTCAATCCCATTTTGTATCATTATATTCGTAAACATCTGGGTAGTCCACCAGCATTGGTTCAAGCAAAGCCTGGCTCTACTGCTGATGAGACGTTGAATGTCAAATTCGGCTCCAGAGTTTTGCTTGGTTATGAAACTAGCGCTGCTGAAATTATACCAATCCCGGCCCGGAAGCAAGGCTGCGTGGCTGGCTGATGTGATGTGTCAAACACACCATTGATAGTCACGTGGGGTGGCAGATGTGTAGACACAGGCGCTTACCTATTTACTCCGTAGCTTAGGTCACCTTTTCTATTTTTAGATCAGGCCTCGTCCACGCGTATCGCTTGACCGCAGTTGGTCGCACAATAAACTGAAATCATTCACTTTGCCAGCCACTTAATCCGCCTCGACTGTCAAACAGAAGCCCTCTGGGGTGGACAATGGAAAGTGTATTTGGGGGCTTATCAACATTTTCCACGACAGCCATCAGTTGATTGGACAATGATGATGATGATTAAATGATGATGGAATGATGATGATGGAATGATGATGATGATCCACAGGAACGTCTGCAAGCACAGTGGGTTATCGCGCTGCGCTGCGAACCCGGCGTCCGGAGTTCGATTCCCGCTCACGGCCAACACCGGTGACGATTATCTGAACCGGTCGTGGGCCTTCCCTAGGTCGACTCAGTCTCGAATGAGTACCTAATGCGGTGTGTAGACAACGCTAGCAGCACTCGCCCCAACAGTCTGTGCAAGGCGATGCGGGGGAATCTTTGACTGTGTTCACCAATCCACG